CGACACCCACCGCCACCGCATCGGCGCCAACTACCAACAACTGCCGGTCAACTCCCCACGTGTCGCATACCGCATGGGTAACTTCCAGCGAGACGGCAATATGGCATTCTACAACCAGGGATCGAGGCCCAACTATCTCAGCAGCATTCAGCCCATTAGCTTCAAGGAGCGCACTGTCGACCTTGACAAGCTCCACGGAAACTTCACCGGCGAGGCGATCACCTTCCTGTCCGAGATCCGCCCAGAGGACTTCAACGCACCACGCACATTGTGGGAGAAGGTCTTTGACGATGCTGCCAAGGACCGCTGGGTGAACAACATCTCTGGCCACATGTCGACTGTGTCCAACAAGGAGATCATCAAGCGCCAGATCGCCATCTTCAGGGAAGTGTCTGAGGATATCGCCTCGCGTCTGGAGAAGGCTACTGGTGTCCAGGGCTACCCCGGTATCGCCAACCTGCGATTCAACGGAACTCACAATGGCATGGCCAAGTCCAAGGACAACAAGGTTGCCAATGGCATGACTGGCATCAGCGCGAAGTATGAGGAGAAGAACAAGACCAACGGTGCACCTGTTCCAGGTACACACAAGGAGATTATCGAGGGCAAGGCCTAAGGCTTTCTGTGGATAGAACAATTTTTGTATAATTAGCGAATGAAGTTTAATACCCTTTCAATGTTGATGATGTGTTGTCCCCGAGCTTGACTGATCCGCTCCTTTTGTGTTCTCAACGCATAGAGTGAGAATGCTGAAGAGGCCTGGAATCTACAATAGGACAACAAGGAGCAAATATGAATATGTAGCATCGATGTGCGCAGTTTCTCCGTTCAGTAAGGCGTTCTGGTGAGCGAGCCATGCAGAACTTGTCGTAACTACATTTCTCCACAACATTCTTTTTCAAGATGCACTCAGCGCCTCACGCTCACATTGCTTCGCCCGTGATGGGGCAGGCGCTCGAGCGGTAATGATGTGTTTCGCGTGAATCAAGGGCCAGTGGCAATGCACGCAGGCGGTGGGACCCCTCGCGCGAAGCGAGCTAGCGCGACTGCCTCATCGGCAGCGGATCACTGGGCAACTTCTGAATCGAAACCTGCCAGCCAGCACCTTGTGCCCCTCACCGATATTCCCTCAAAGCGCTCAACGTACCCAGACCAAAGTCGCAGATATTCCATCTCGCTCCCTTGTACGCCCCCAAAGTCGTCGACAGCCTCTACGCGCACGGATCCGCCATGCTGCTAAGGGTGCAAGGGTCGGATGAGCCCACGTCACGTGACGGGGATTACGGTTGGCGTGTCGGTCCACCTGGGCAATGGGTTCCATTTCGCGTTCCGCCCGCTAGAGCGTGAGGAGTAAAATCGAGTCCTGGCAGCTCGGTCACTCCCACAGCATTGTCCCGGTCCAGCTCCCCAGACGCCCGCTCCAAGCCATATCATGTTCCTGTCGCACCTCGGCATTCTTTTCCAGTCGTCCATCCATTCCCTTGCCGCGCTCTGAAGCTCGTGGAGCTTTTGGCCCGCTGTCTCCGCACCTGCAGCGTCACCGTTGCGCTCCAGCAGACACCACTGTCGCCGACGAGAGCGTCGTCATTGCGCGATAGCGACGCCTCTGCCATTGACTTGCATCGCTTCCGTCACGTCACGGTCCACTACCGCGTCCTTCTAGTCCTTCTTCCTGCCTCTGACCTCGTTCGGCCGGCCACCCTCCCAAGCGCATCCGACACCACCCAGCTTGCCAGCATCGCTCTCGCTCATACACTGCTCAGCTATTGCATTTGCCGATAGCGACAGCTACAGGAACAATGTCGCCGCGACGGTCATCGCGGGCTCGCACCACCCAGCCCCCACCCAGCGTCGCAACGCACAGCAACTCCTCATCCTCCGTCTCATCAGCGCGTACCGATCGTGCATCCAGAGTCAATCCCAAACAGACATCGCCGCCAAAGTCGTCGACCCCACACTCGCTCTCCTCGGAAGAGCCCGAAGAAACGCCTCACGGTGTGCAGCCCGAGCCGCCTCTGACACGCCGACGAACACGCGAGCACGACAATGACGAGGATGAGTCGGCGAAGCTCGACGACGAGCTCGAAGACGACATCGCAGAGGAGGATGAGGTCACCCGATGCGTGTGTGGCTACCAGGAGTACCCGGGCCCGCCATCTGACACTCCCAAGTCCATGTCTGCTCTCGCGGACCCAGATGTGCAAGCCGATGAACTTGGCGGACTGTTCATTCAGTGCGACGTCTGCAAGGTCTGGCAACACGGAGGCTGTGTAGGCATCATGGACGAAGCTGCCAGCCCAGACGAGTACTTCTGCGAGGAGTGCAGGAAAGACCTCCACAAGGTTACATCAAGTCCCAAAGGGTACGTGCTTGTCTTTATCGTCGTTCTCATTTGAGCTCTGTACCCCGCTACGCGTTTCTCTGTCTTTGGTCTCAAGCCCTAGATTTCCTCCATCGCGCGACCACTACCTTACTATCTATGGAGAGCTAACGAGATTGCCATTCTAGTCAAAAGTACTCTCGATACCTCCCCGTCTACGATCAACAACACAGCAAGAACCGCAAATCTTCTGTTTCCAAGGAATCAGACGGACACCCAGGCAAGGACAAGGATCGCAACAATAGGGCGAGTGTAGATTCCTTTGGCAAGCGTCGTTCGACCATGAACAGTCGAGCCGCCTACGACGAAGACGAGGTGCTCCGCAAGGTGCTCGAAGAAAGCAAGCATGAGGGCGGTACAGCCTCAGAGAACGGCAATCGAAAGAAGCGGAGTCGCGACGACAGCGAAGAGTGAGTCTTGCTTGCTGCTCCATGTGCCGCTAGGGACATCTAGCTGACAATCTGCAGGACAAAGCCAGAGATCAAACGACAGCGGACCGGCTCTCGCTCCCCTAGCAATTCGCCAGTGATAGAATCGGAAGACGATAGTACAAAGGCATCTGCTCCTAAGCAAAAACCTCGCGGAGCTGCGGCAAAGAGTCAACGCGAAAAAGAACAGCGCGAGAAGGAGCGCGAAAGTCACCGTAACGAAGCCGCGAATCGACGGAAAGGCCGTGCAGAGCGAAGAAAGGGAGACGGTATGAATTGTGCTTAGTGGAGTAAGGCTTTGGCTGACAGTCGCTAGATACAGAGGAACCCGAGCCCACACCTGCCCCTACCATCGAAGAGCCCGTTATGGCCCCAATAGCGACCGAAGCTATAATCCCCGACACCCCCGTCGCAGAACCTAAGCCTGCGCCTGCCCCACGGAGAGGTGGACGTCCACCACAGAAGGCCCGTGGTCGACTTGGGCGGAATCAGTACTCAAGAGACACCATGCCCGCGACCAACGGCACTTCACCCAAGAACGACATCGCACAGTCTCCGCAAACGAACATGACAAACGGAGCGAGCAATGGGCATGACAGCAGCGATGGCACAGCCGGACAAAAACCTACCAAGACAAAGAATTGGCGGCTGCAAAAACTTTCCTGGAACGACATACGAAGGCCAGCCGGAGCTATGCAGAGCTACATAGCTCAACGACAGGTCGAGATGGCTACAGGGGAGAAACATGGAAGCCTTGCTCCGGCAGTCCAACCAGCAAACGGCGAGCCGGTCCAAGAGCAGCAGAAGGACGAGGATACAGACCTGGCGAAGTTCAAGAATTTGAGCACTACCCAGATGATGGACTTCTTGAGTCGGGATCTGGTGCATTGGCAGCAGATGATCACTGAGCCAACGGATAAGTCGCCAAAGTGACACGAGGATTGCACAGCTCTCGATCTCGGCGGCGGCGTACTGTTCACTCGATTTTCTTTTACAAACACGGCGCATTCATCATATGTTGCATGAGCCCAATGGGTATGGCATACCAGCGGCATTTTCTTTACACATTGGCGTTTTCATCGGTTATTTACGGATACCCTCCACTTGGCTTTCGACGCCAGACTACCTCCTGGCGCACTCTCCTTTCACATGACTTCGACGCTATTTGTATCGAAGCTTTTCTTACGTAGTATATATACTCCGGGTGTAACGAACCACGACTAGGCTAGAGCAATGCTCCCGTCGTCGCATCCTAATGTGTACGAAAACAAGGTTCTCAAACAACTGCAGCGTCTTTGTCTCATTGTCATGAATTATGCTGTGATTCTGTGTCTTATCCTAACCTATTCTACTCTGAGCTACCGAGCTTTATCTCCAGCACACCCATGACGGGATTCGCCTTCAGCAACTCCAATATCGCTGGGAAGTTCTCATCCGTCACGACAGTGTACTCGGGCCAGATCTTGCCATCCCGCGTCTTGGTATCCCAGTGTATTCTGAACTCTTGAATCGTCTCTTTGGGGCCGTCGGCGGCCTTGTGCTTGGCCATGACTGGTTTCAGATGTTAGCGATATCTCCAGGCTATCTGTGAAGCGTTGTTCGACGTACATTCGGCGCAGTTGGGGCTTGAGGAGATTGTAGACGTGATCTGCGCGTTGAGCGACTTCAACGTGATCTTGGAGGACGTGTCGAGCAGGAGGAATTCATGGCGGTTCGAGGGCGGGAGCGTGAAGAGGAGGGGGAGGGACATTGTTGCTGCTGTTGTTGTATCTTTGGTGTCAAGTCTGTTTGGATGCGCGCGTGTGCTTTAGAGAAGGACCTGGAAAGCTTCACAAGTCGTTATTACCACAAGAACTGCGCTTTGCAGGTTTCATAGACTTCCAAGGTTGGATGCGTGGTACATGGATCCCGATTTACGTCATCGGCATGGGTCGCGCTCTGCCGTTGGACGCGTTGCAGCGCGTGGCTGACAGGGGTGTGTGCCCCGCTCTTCATCGAATTCTCGTCGTGGGTCTGGATGCGAGCTATTGGAATCCTGCAGACGCAAGAAGAACACGCTGCTTTCAACGAGTGTAATTTCCGCGACAGAACTGTCTTTGCCACGATGTACTATGCAGGCACTCTCTTGGAAAGCACCATCTATGGATCACGAACGATGATGCAAGTACTTGAATCCTCCATGCGAAATCTATCTACAGCCCCTTAATCTTCTCCTCTAGTGCACGTTTGATAGCTAAAGTCTCGTTAGCAAAATCCTGAACATCAATCAGTCCAAGCGATGGCTTACCGTTGCAGCTCTCATTAGCATCGCCAAACAACATCTTCGTATTCTCCATGAAGAACATCGGATTGGGCACATCCGCGTATCCACTCGCCATGCCCCTCTTCATAATAACAACCTGCTTGCTCTTCCACGCATGCAGCACCGGCATACCCGCAATGGCACTACCAGGTTCCAGCGCGATGGGATTAACGGTGTCGTTTGCGCCGATAACAAGTGTGACATCTGTCTCCGGGAAGTCGTCATTGATCTCATCCATCTCGAGGACAATGTCGTAGGGGACGGATGCTTCGGCGAGGAGCACATTGCATTGTCCTGGCATGCGGCCTGCGACTGGGTGAATGGCAAAGCGCACGTTGATGCCTTTCGCACGCAGGCTTTTGACAAAGTCGGCGAGTGCGTACTGCGCTTTCGACACGGCCATGCCGTAACCGACGACGATGATGACGTTTTCTGCGTTGACGAGAGCTTCAGCTGTTTCTTCTGATGTGGTCTTGGTTATCTCGCCCTCGACCTTGGTCTGGGATTGGACTGTGGGGGCTATGCCGCCGAAGAGGACGTTGGTGAGGCTTCGGTTCATGGCAACGCACATGATATATGAGAGAATTGAGCCTGATACCCCGATGAGGGCACCTGCAGAGAAAGAGGTGTGAAGTCAGTATATGTCTCACATATATTTCGTACAGCCAGGACTTACCAACACTTGTTAGGAGTGGGTTATCCAGCATGAAACCCTCGGCTACTAATGCGAACCCGGAATATGCGTTGAGTACTGTGATAACAACTGGCATATCTGCTCCGCCAATTGCAGCAGTGGTCGTGTAGCCTTTGACAAAGGACAGAGCTGCGTTCCCAACGAGACATGCTGCGCCGATAAGAGGTGCGCCCGGTGCGTAGGTCAAGAAGGCACCCATGGTTGCTACGTTCGCCCCGAGCAACGTGCTGTTGATGAGATGCCGGCCAGGTAGCGCCAGAGGTTTCGAGCTCATCTTTGCGGCTAGCTTGAGGAAGGCAACGATCGATCCGGTGAAAGTGACACCACCGATGAGAACACCAAGGTAGGCGGAAACCATGTGAAGAGTTGAGATATCACCAGAGTGGCCTAGGACGCTACCGATACTCGTGAGTACAGCAGCGAGACCGACGACCGAATGCAGTGCCGCGACCGTCTGGGGCAGCGAGGTAGGCGTGATCCTCCGTCCGATCATTAGTCCAGCAAGAGTACCCACCGTAGCGAGACCGGCGAACTGGGTGAGAACATCAGAAGAAAAGCCGACGGCTGCCAGGGATGCAAGAAAACCTGAGAAAACACCAAGTATGCCCAAGAAATTGCCGCGACGAGCTGCATAGTGGTACGAAGTCAGTAAACGTCACACATGCACTTCGTACAGTCGTGACTTACCTGTTGTCTGCGACGCAAGTCCTGACAACGAGGTCACGCAGAGAACACTACTGACAAGGTAACCTGCTTGGACCAGACCTGCCATGCCAGTGGAAGCTGCTGCGATGAAACCGCCACCAAACAGAGCTGCGGGTACTGCATAAAGCCAGGGATACTCTTTGGGATCAGTAGGTCGTCTGAACATATCAAGCATACGCTTAGATATAACGAAACCACCCGAGATGTTAACGAAGGCCAATAGGACCGACAAGGCTCCGAGGGTTTGCGGAATGGTCCCGGGCAGATAGCCGCCACCCATAGCGTACAGGCCACCAACTCCGATGATACCAGAGATGGCGTTCGTTACGCTCATAAGCGGAGAGTGCAAAGCAGGTGCCACCCCCCAGACCACGCGGTAACCAATAAGACTGGCCAATGAGAAGGTAAAGGCGTTGGTCATGAAAACTGGGCCCGTGAATTTACCTAGAATTAGTGCAGCAGTCATGCCAGCCGTTACGCTAGCTACCTGTCGAGACTGCGTTTGCCATGGTGTCAGGGCAACAGCGTTGGCAACTTGATCGGCCGGCGAAGGTGCGGGTTTGGCTTGAACTGGTGGAGGGGCTGGACGCGGAGCTGGTGGAAGGATCTTGCCATTGTATGTGACAATGGCTCCGCGAGTGACTTCGTCAGTGAGATCGACATCGTAGTACTTCTCCTTCTTGTCTTTTGGGGTGAGCGAAAGCAGAAACTTGGTAACGTTGTTAGAGTACAGAGTTGACGACTGGGTGGGTAGACGGGATGGAAGATCGGTGTATCCTGCACTCGTGGTCAGTGTCGGATCGTCCTAGAAAGCCACGAATACATACCTATAACAGAAACACCCTTGTAGTCCACCATTTTTCCAGGTTCAGTAGCTTCACAGTTACCACCAGCTTCAGCCGCTAGATCCACGATCACAGAACCGGGTTTCATCGCGCCGAGCATGGCCTTGGTGATAAGCTTCGGTGCGGGCTTGCCTGGGATTAGGGCAGTGGTAATGACGATATCAACCTCTCGGCACTGGTCATAGAATAGTTTCATCTCCGCCTCGATAAACTCCTTGGACATGACTTTGGCATAGCCACCAGCTCCGGAGCCGTCCTCGGCGATATCGACTTCAATAAATTCCGCACCTAGAGATTGGACCTGCTCACGTGCTGCAGATCTAGTGTCGAAACCACGAACAATGGCACCCATACGTCGAGCCTGGCGCCGACGTTAGTAAGACTGCGTGGATCTAGGGAAGTGCCGCACTTACTGTAGCAATGGCTGCAGATGTGGAAGTACGAAGTTAGTATATGTCTCACATGCACTTCGTACTGTCAGAACTTACCACTCAGACCCGCGACACCGGCACCGATTACGAGGACCTTGCAGGGAGGTATCTAGCAATGTTTAGCAAGGATCTGAATTGGACGAAGTGACGATCACCTTTCCAGCAGCAGTCACTTGACCGGTTAAGAAGCGACCAAAGGTATTGGAAGCTTCCAGGACGGCTTTGTAACCAGCGATGTTCGCCATTGACGACAGTGCATCGAAAACTTGCGCTCGTGAGATACGTGGGATCATGTCCATTGCGAATGCAGTGGCCTTGCGGGAAGCAATCCGATCAACGGCCGGCATGTTCTGCATCGGGTAGAGCATTGAGATGACGGTGGCGCCCTCCCGGATGGCATCCACTTCGCTGTCTTTTCCATCGATGCTAAGGGCCCGGACCTTGAGCAGGATATCACTCTCTGAGAAGACATTCCTGCGATCGACTGTCTGCGCGCCAGCTTGCTCAAACGCTTCATCCGTAAACTGCGCAGCACTGCCAGCTCCACGCTCGATGAGAATGCGCGAGAAGCCTTTCTTAAGCAAGAGTTTCACGTTCTGCAAAATAAGGTTATCAAGTAAGTATGTGTCTCAAAGACAGCGAATGCGAGAGGAGACTATACCTGTGGCGTAATCGCGACCCTTCGTTCGCCAGGATAGCTTTCCTTGGGTACTCCAATAGTGAGGTTGGAATAAGGACCTGCGGTGAACGGCGGGGTGCTAGGTAGCTCCTCGTCGTGCGGATCCGATGCCTGCCCGGATGCATACCGCGCGACAGCGGTAACCTGCGAGACATGGTGCTGCAGGGAAAGCGCGGGCGGGTGCGGGCGGCTAAGTCCCCGAAGGCTTGTTGTAGCCAAAGTATGTTTTGAAGAACGATCACCACGTTCCAGCAGAGGTGTTGCTTTCAGACCAGAGGTGACAGCACACTGCTTCAGCGTAGCAAGTAAGCTGCCCCGCTGCGGGCGAAGGGCCAGCGCCCTACGGCCAGTGAGACAGTTCAGAGAAGGACTCATGCTGTCTCGAATGAAAACGAGCAAATGGAGAAGCTGAAAACCCGCATCTGTTGGCGATTTCCAAAGTTGTTCCGAAAGAAGGCACGGCTAGCAGCTGAACGAAGGCCAGAATGCAGTGTGAGTGAGCACCACAAGTGCCACAGTTTGCGAGACATGGTGGTACAATAAGGCGGTACCTTTGGGCCGCGTTTCCCTTTCTCGTGTTTGTGTTCTGCCGAATTAAACACGACCGCGCAGCGCTTCCCCGCACTCCTCCACTCTGCCCTGCATGAACCCAGCCCAGGATGCACGAGTCCACGAGACATATTGTAATGCACTTCTCTCCTCTTCATGCGTCTGCGACGGTTTCAAAGCGAAAAATGGTGCGTCTTGGTTGCTTGACAATAAAGTTTACAATTCAGAACGTTACGGATCTTTGTTCAGAACGTTGTCTTCTCACGGAAGATGGGTGAAGGTTCCCCGCTCGTGCCAGGCGATCACGCGCTGTGGGGCACAGTCCCGACCGTTTGGTCTATCTTCCGTTCGAAGCGCGCTTGGTATCTTTGGTTCCGTCCACCAACGCATCCTGTTAGCACCTCGTTCAGGAAAACAAAAACATAACACCCTGAAGCTTGCGTTGACTTCAGATCATTCAATTTGCGTGTGTGCATCTCAACGTAAGCTGCAGACCTGTTCAGGCGAGCGACGCGCACACGTGGAAGGGTCTTCGAATGCACAGGGTTGACTGTTCGAGCTCCGCCGTCAAACTCGTCGTACGATCGATTGGGATCTTTTGAGCAAGCCCAGTAGATGAGTTGATTCGATCAGGACGATACTTCAATAAGCAGAAGAAGGCAAGTTCAAAGAGCACATATTGTTACATTATAACTACCAAGATGCTAGAATCATACTAAGGAGTGACTATGCGACGAGCTAATGCTCAATGTAAAGCCAAAGAGTTATTATTTACAGAAACGAAGAAGAGTATTAGTCATGATATCCACCGTCAACCATCACCATCTCGAATTTTGGTGCGCCCATGCGATGCAGACATAAGTCGTTGTTGTTGTCGGAAGAGCAGCGAGCGTTTACTCGTCGCGCTTGTTCTTGAAGTAAGACCAGCCACCCCAGTTGAAGCTGGCGTTGACATCGACGTCCCAGGTGAAGGACTTCTGGCAGCCCCACTTGGAGGTACCACCGACGCTGATGTCGAGGTTGGCCTGGGTGGCAAGGAACTTCTTGGTGAAGAGACGGCAGTGGGTACCGAAACCCTTGCCGTCCTTCTCGAGGTAAGCAGCCTGGAACTGGACGCAGCCACCCTTGTTCATGCCGAACATGGAGAGCCATGCGCCAATGATGCCGTGCTTGCGGTTGACCTCGTTCTGCTTCTGAGCGTAGGCAGCGCAGAGAGAAGGATCGAAAGGACCGGGGAAAGTAGTCTGACCCATGCAGTAGGGCTGCTGGTTGTGGAGCTTGTGGCCGCAAGATTGGGGCTTGCTGCAAGAAGGAGGAGTGGGAGGGTTGTAGGTACCCTTGTTGTAACCGTTGGAACCGACTAGAGGTAGAGGGACGAAGTCAGTATATGTCTCACATGCACTTCGGACAGCCAGAACTTACCTATCACGACCTCGAATCCATCCTGGCCCTGGCCGACGTTGGTAGCAGACTCCTTCTTGACATCCTGTCCCCAAAGAGTGCACTTGAAGCGAGTGACAGAGTCGGGCTTGTCGCAAGAGCACTGGCGCGGGTTCCACTTGGGGTCACGCTCGATGTACATGTTGAAACCAGTGCAGGTGGAGGTAGAGTCGCACTTGGCGGCGCAAGCAGCAGTGTCGTAGCTGGTAAGCTCGTAGTATCCGAGGTAACCGCTGCCCTCAACGGAAGCGCTGAGGTCGACGAAAGAGGAGGTGTAGCCAGATGGCGACTTAGCACTAGTGGCCATCTTGTGGTAGACCTCGTTGTTCTTGAAAGCATCGGCAGTGTCGGGGGTGGTAGGTGGGCCGTAGGCGTTGGGCTGAGCAGCACATGGGTCATCGGGGTTGATGAATCCGCAGTAGGTGCCGACCTCGATCTGAGTAGCACAAGCGGGATCGGCAGTGAACGCGAAGGTGTTGGTCCAGCTGACCGGGGTGCACGAAGATGGTGCAAGGTTGGTAGAGGATGGGTTCTCCGCAGGTGCGGCGGTGGGAGCAGGAGCAGGAGCCTTGGTAGGAGCGGGAGCAGGAGGGTTGTTCTGCTGGTTCCAGTTCCACCAGAAAGTAGGGTCGCGTGCCTCAAGCTGGGCACCAACGGTCCTCTTTGCCTGCTGAGCAGTGGCAGCGCCGGTAGCAGCAGCGGCGGCAACGTCCTGAGCCTTGGCCTGGTTGTAGGCCTGCTCACTGACGACGCCTGCCTTGGGGCCCTGAGCGAGGTTGTTGGCCATGGAATCGAATTGGTTGACATCGAATGCCTGAGGAGCAGGAGAAGCGGCCACGAGGGCAGCAGCCCCGAGGAAGAGAGAGTAACGCATATCGAAGGATCGAATAGAAGAGTAGCGAAAGTAGTGTAGGAGATTGTAGTAGTGAAGGACCGATGCTGATGAGCTGATGATGAGTTACTGCCCAGTGTGCCAGAGGGTCTTATATACACAAGAGGCACATAGTCATGCTCTGTCGACCTCGGTGGTTGACTACTGATTTGAGATCGATGTCATGGGTGGAGACGAAAACATGGCCGGTAAGTTCGACCTGTCTTCCTGAAGGAGTTGGCGGCAGTGCCTGGAAACAATAGTCCACCAAACTTTAGCCTAGCTCCGGGTGAACTGTCGTGGTCGCCAACGCCAGGAACGTGCAGCACGCATGCAGGTACCGAGGCCGCCGCCAATGAGAGCCCAATGGCAGGCTGAGTCTGGACCTGATAGATGCAAGTTTTATCAGCTCAGCTCGTCGCGAAATGATGAGGTAAAAGGCTTTGCTGTATCTCTAAAGGCCATGGTGTTGCGATGCGATGCTATACAAACCTTTAGGGCAGTACTACAGCAAAGATCGACACACCAGAAATGATGCCGCTGCAGGTATCGACGACCCGAGGCTTTGCATCACGGTCAAAGCGAATCGCTAAGCGAAAGCTTAGTTTATTTTTGATCCCGACGTCGTCCCGAAGGGTTCTAAAGGCCCACTTATCCGGTTAGCTCAGAGACTACTGTTGGACATATCAATAGTCCGCCTCCAGGGAAGCAGACTTGCGCGCGCAGAAGTCCCGATCAGCTCATCAGGGGTAGACTGTATGTGTGAACGTTTCAGCGGTGTTGATCTTATCAGCCTTGCCTAAAGCGACTTCTTTGTTCGTTCCGTCGTTTACACCCGTTGGGGGATCCTCCGCGATGAATTTCCTCAGATCTTGTGCTAAGCATTGGTACTTGCATCGATTTGCACATGGATGGCACATTGCGAGTAAAGACGCGATCGCTCCGTGATAGCTGGGATGCCACCATTACTATGCTTCTCTGCCCCCGCGGCGATGCGAGGCACGTGAGCGCAGTCGGAATCTGAGTTTCTTCGGTCAGGAGCTAGATTGCTGAGCTAGCCATCTTCATTCTCTGGAGATGTGACGATGTGGATGCTCGCGTAAAGATGCTGTCGATGGACGTCGCAGAGGTCATGCAGGGAGTCGCTGCGTACCGTGGGACTCTCAGGGGCCCGAATCCCCTACCCTCTCTTGGCTGGTGCCCGGCAGATCTCGCGTACCCGCTCGTACACCGGTGTATACGCTGCTCGGCCATCTTTCTGGGCCGAAGACCGGTTCTGACGGTATATGGCGAGTAACCTCATACTGGGTCCCTTGTCGTCTTAGCAGTCTGGTGTTGCGGCCTTGCTGTTCGTCTGCTTGATCAACACTCGTGATGGCGTTCGTGCGTCTCAACACTATCGATAGTTGCTAGACGGGAGTTGTTCCCAGGGTCACCCCACGATGCACTGCTGTGCGCTGGCGGGATAATCGACGATCTAGCACAACTGTTGCTAATCCTGTGGTGATGGACTCCAGGAGACAAGGAAAATCCGGTGTGGATCGCTCCGGAACACACGGAGTGGAGACTGCCTAAACGGCTCGGTCGATCTCGCTAGCGCCCTAAGGTTTGGCTAGGCCCTGGCATTGCTCAGCCTCACCACGCTTCTACTCCTACCGCGATTGAGCGTCAACGGCTGCCCTGTCACCATCTCCCAACTAAGTCCGTCTGCGTTCCTCAGCTGTCTTGCCAATGCTCTGGCCCCTCAGTGTCGTCTGTGGCTTGACGTCAGGCATGTCCCGCCATCTTGGCTTGCTCCTCCGCCACGACTTTGTCATCGAATATGTCGGATTAATCGCGGGGTACCAAACACATGCTCACAAATAACTCAGCGACTCATGCTGTAGGTCAGCTCACTTGTTCAGCTGGAACTAGGCTTCTGCAGAGTCTGAATCAAAAACGCCACCGCAAATAGACCAACTCACTCTCGGTATCGCGAATGCGAAACGTAAACAAGCCGAGCGCATGAGCCACTTGGGCCTCCTGAGCCACACCTCGGCCGGAGGCATCTCTATACGGTGTCGCTGCCGAGATCCGCCTAGCTCACTGATGACGGCGAAGGGGTTTCCTTCGGACTTAACAAACCGTAGCGCCCATTGCTCAGCGCAACAGCGAGGATGTACTCCCTCTCCCACGCGTAATGATCGACGCCCCGGAGCGCATTGTCGTCATCTGTTTGGTAGATGAGATCGCAGGATCTGGGTATTGGGTACATCCTAAAAACCACAAGCTCTCACATAGTGGGAGATTTCCTCGGGTTCCAGAGCTGGGCTGCGAAGGGTTGCCTCGTCGTCTCGTTCATTTCGTCTCAATACATGCGTAAGGGCTTGTTGCAGTTTCTGACTTCGATCGAGTGTGGCAAAGACAAAGCTTACCAACGAGGTAGCTGTGGAGTACACTACTATAACGATCCTCTCAGCTTGCGTATTTGGTGTTCCATGGAGACAACCGATTTGTTATCTGACCTTGAAAAGCT